AAGTTGAAGTTGCAATAGGTGGCAACCAAAGTTGCAACAAATGTTTGAGCAAGGCCCCAGGACCAGCTCACCCTCCATAGACAGCAGCCATTTCTGTGCTTTCATTGTTTTACCTGTAACAGATCTGAGGGAGAAAAAAAAACCAATCAGGCCAGTGCAGAGTCTCCTGTTTACATGTAGCGAGACTGAAGACTTTCAAACTTGATGCTTCACAGCTGCACACATTACCAGGGCTACCAAACCTTTCCTCTGTGAAGTTAATCTGGGTATCTGCTTCATTTCCATAAGAGGTAAACTGTCAAAAAAAAATTACCTTTATTTGCTTTATCAAAATTTCAGTGGGTCAAAGGTTTACGCACAAACCACGGCAAATGTCTCTTTAGACAGTGTAAAAGATTCCAGAAGTTGAACAATGGGGTTACTGGCCTCCGATAGGCAAACTGAGTTAACAGAGTGCTCTTCTGGCTGTATTTAAGTTCCTACCTTTATGGTCAATGCCTTATTGCCCTTTGTGCCATGAGAAAATCCAGGCAACTCAGCCACGACCTCAGACAGTAAGCCATTTTCCCTGCTTATTTTTACCGTTTTGTTCACCGTGATCAGCAGTCCGCTGTTTTTGCCATGTCATGAATAGAAATGGGAAGTGAATTAATGCTGTATGTACAGTATGTTGACTGCATAGGGCTGGTGTTTTGTAGTGCTGTAGTTCTCGAGACTGGTCTTGGTCTCGAGACCGGTCTTGAGACCAATTTTTTGTGGTCTCGGTCTTGTCTTAGTCTCGGACATAGCGGTTTTGATGGGATGGGGAAAAAAAGAGAAAACAGCACATCCTCACAGAACAGTATCATTATTCATTACGCGCCTCAATTCAAATGCAACCAGTCAGATGCATCTATTTTAAAAACGTTACATTGTATACATTTTCTCAATGGACACAGTGCTTCACAGTCCACATACTTAATACACATTGCATGATAGCGAAGTCGGCAAAGAAATGTTCCAAAACGTCACCACGCGTCACCATGTCACATGGTACAAAATCCTCGCGACAGCAAGACGACTTGAGACAGACCGTGCAGCACAAACTGGAACCGCCTCCGTGACGACACAACTTTGCCCTTATTAGCTGAAGATTTTAGTCACACGCATGACGTTTGTATCCCAGGAAGTTCCAATGGGTTATCTGCTATTTCTCCCGAAAAACACATAAAGCAGTGAGAACTGGTTTCAGTTCATTTACTGGTAAAATAAAGTTTAAATAAATTACATAAATGCTCTAACAGTACATGTAAGTTAGTGGTTTATCTATTGTTAGTTACTGTAATGTTGTGCTGCTTTATTTGTTTAATCGTCAGACATACCGATCAGACATACCGATCAGAAAGACATACCAATCAGACATACCGATCAGAAAGACATACCGATGAGACATGCCGATCAGAAAGACATACCGATGTGACATGCCCATCAGAAAGACATACCTATCAGAAAGACATACCCATGAGACATACCAATCAGAAAGACATGTCTCATGGGTATGTCTTTCTGATAGGTATGTCTTTCTGATCGGCATGTCTCATTGGTATGCCTTTCTGATGGGTATGTCTGATGGATATGTCAGATCGATATGTCTTTCTGATCGGCATGTCTCATTGGTATGCCTTTCTGATGGGTATGTCTGATGGATATGTCAGATCGATATGTCTTTCTGATGGGCATGTCTCATGGGTATGTCTTTCTGATCGGCATGTCTGATCGGTATGTCTTTCTGATGGGTATGTCTGATGGATATGTCAGATCGATATGTCTTTCTGATGGGCATGTCTCATGGGTATGTCTTTCTGATCGGCATGTCTCATTGGTATGTCTTTCTGATGGGTATGTCTGATGGATATGTCAGATCGGTATGTCTTTCTGATGGGCATGTCTCATGGGTATGTCTTTCTGATGGGTATGTCTGATGGATATGTCAGATCGGTATGT